AAACAAATACCAAACACATTTTTACCTTAATGTGAGAGGGCTATCCCATCTTTTCACTAGTGCAAATGAAGTAAGATAGATATATATATATATATATATATATATATATATGAGATACAGCTATGGATTATTAGATGAATGGCAAGCTTTGGATGAGTTCATTTCAAGAAACCAACTTAAAGATACCATTTTCTTTTGAGTAAAATGCTTATATTCCAACTAGTTAACTAAAACAAAAAACAATGTCCTAAAGAATTTGGTTTTTAAAGCAATCAAATTAGCATCTAAAATTTTTCTATTTGTATGTAACTTTTGCATCAGTTACAGTACTCAGAAGCATTTCAATTGAGTTCCCCCTAAAATATATATTTAAAATATATCTGTATATAACCAATGAGTAACCAAAATGACATAGAGTAGCCAGAGGTATTTAATCAGAGTATTCTGAAATTGAAATAAAATAAAACTCAATTTAAAAAAGAAAACATTCCAGGGAGATAACTCTCAAGTGCTTATTATAGAATATTATACCCCAAATCATTTATTTACTGATTTGCATATGAGTTAAAGAAAAAAGTCCAAGTGTAAAAAGCAACACTTCTTTTGCTCATAACACACAGAAAGTATTTGAATTTGCAAAGTAGCATATTCAGTGATGATTTTTTTGTGTTATTTTCTAAAGAAGCCAAAGGTTTGCAGGTTTGTCTTTTTTCTACTTATTTTTAAAGTGATGTTCACCCTGTAGAAAGCACTAGAGTCACTCAAGGTAGAGGTTTTCAGTGTAAAAGGCACAGTTTATACAAATATGTGGGGACTTGAACAGGTTCAGATTGTAGTGATCAAAGAAGCATCCTCAAGGGAGTTGGTTCCACAAAGCAGCAGTTCAGAGGAAGAAGCTGCTTGAATAAAACTTACAATTAATACACACAATGAGAAAATCTAGCAGTCAGGAATAAAAGCTTATAAAGTATCAATCAGATGATGAATACAGTCATTCCTTAGTATTCTTGAGGGACCAGCTTCAAGATTGCAAACTCATGCCAAAATCTGTGGATACACAAATTAGATAAAATAGCATCACTTATCTTTCTACATATTTTAAATCATCTTTTAATTATTTATAACATCTAATATAATGTAAATGGTATATAAATCGTCATAATATGATAGATATATTTGTGTTTCAAATAGACAGGCTGTGAGGATTATGATTTTAGAGAAAAATCACCCTGGGACTTTCTTATTACAACCAAACTTTTTTATAAAATACTTAAATTAAAATCTATGTCTTAGAATACCCACAGCCTAAATTAAAGTTTGAGACAAAATTTCATGAATATTTGATAAAAGGAGTGGTTGGAATAAAAAAGTCTTCGGTAGATTTTTCTCTAAGTAACAATAATTATCCTACCCTGTCTATTTGAAACTCAAAGATATGAACAAATAATTTTGGTGGGAGATAAATATTTGAAGAAAATCTTTGTGCACTTAGAAAAAAGATTGGATATGAAAATTATTTTTTGTTTAGACTCTATAGAAATGAAAGATATTTCTAAAAAGTGATAGTGTAAAAATCTGTTTAGTGGATCCAAAAAATACAATAATTTGCATGAGAAAACTTACAGGCAAAAATACTTCATTTTAAAAATTTACTAATTTATTAATGAACTATTGCATTTGAAATTTCATAGAAATAAGATCATGTGCACAAGTAGTAAACAAATGATAGGCAAGATGAACAATACCGAAACTAAAAGTCTGTGAAATGGTTGCAATATCAGATGCAGAAATAGCATTTCATTTGTGCAGCCTTATCATAGTGCTCAGTGCACAGCAAATTAAAATTTTTTAAAACTTTTCCAGATTTTTTGGCAAAATATTTTTGATCTGAATGCAGATTTTGCAGATATTTGGTTTGGTTAATGGCATATCATCTTCTTATGGGTCATTCAATGCTAAAATTTTATTTTCTTGTGAGCTTTGGTAAATTCTTTTTTACTATGAAAATATAGTTTTTTCTATTTTCATGTTTTGACCCCAGTTTGAGGGTTCACTATTTGCCCATTACTGGGACCCTAACAGGTGCTACCACCATGGGTCGGGGTGGACCTGGGAACAACAGCAATTAAGAGTTGTTTCCAGGTGTAGTTTATCATCATACCCAGCAGGTTTTGTAAATATGAAAGGCTGATAATGAAGTTATTTTTAACCCTTACCATTTAAAATCATCTTAGCATGAGAAAGAAGGTATAAATGTATCTTGGATTTAAATAAAATCCAATTAATTTTTCCTATGAAACAGAGGAATGACTTTGTGTTATATTAAGTTCAACTCTGTATTAGGGATGTACCGAAAGGTTACAAGACTTTCCTGAATAAGAAAAAGTTTTCCACTGTATATTCAGTGTCTAGTTTTCAAGAAAAGGGCATTCTCAGGACTTTTATACATATGTTGCAGGCCAGTGTACATGTTGAGAGATGAACATGTGTGTCTACTGAAATGCCCAGAACCAACTCTGGATATGAGTCCATGTAAAAAATGTATAGAAACAACAAGGACTAATATATATGTGTACAAACAAATGATAATGTATTAACAATAAAGGGTTATATATACAATGGAATATTGTTACATGTTACTGAATAATGAACATGAATGGAGAAAATATTTAAGCTCGTGAATTTGTTTGCGTATGTGTAGTTTGGTGTAGGAGAAAGACCTAGAAAAAATGAAGTGAAAGTTGAATACGTATGTGTGTGCATATGTATTGTTCATGTGTTTCTCAAAAGGGAATGTGTTCTTTTGTAAGAAATTTACATGTTGTCATATAAGCAGAAAAGTAAAAAGAGAATGATAAAATGAGTATTTATAATGCCGGAGAGCGTTCCCTACTAGTGATTTTGAAAATCAGGAGGAGGTAACCTGACACTTGAATAAATATAAAATAAGAGCTAAAGTATTTAGTTTCTGTCTGAATTTTGGAAATGAGAAGCTATCATTATTTGTATTCAAACTAATGTCTTATTATCATAAAATTTCAACCCTTGTGCACTCCTGCCTTTTCAGGTGACTCTCAATCTGGGTATATTTTAGGGAATTTTAAACTGAACCCTCAATTTTAATGTACAAGGATAGACTGTTCTTGTTCTTTTTAGTGCTGCTCAGTTATTGTTCATCCTGTTTACATTACTTAGCCAAGGGATTGAACTTGCTATTACTAAGCCAAAACATTCACAAACCAACATTTTAATCCACTAGGCTATTGTTGTGTGACACAATAGTGAACCGAGGACTTGGAGCCTTAAATTTAATGTTCTTATTGCTTGCTTACTAATGCTCTTGTTGCTGTCATGCTTGACCTCCTTTGCCATTGCTTCTGTTTTCAAATTATTTTTATCTGCATTTCTAGATTAAAGAATTGCAAGTCAATAAAAATATCTGATCTGAACATCTATGAAATTTTCAACCAGATCAAGAATGGATTAAGAAATAACTCTTGTTTTTGGACATTTGAGAACATTTCAGGAAATGGTCCAGTCCAAGTATTTTTCAGCACCTCCTGGTAAAAGCTGGAACTCTACACACAAAAAAAAGAAACAAATTTCATATCTTACCATATGTGCCATAAGTTTTTGTTTTGCTAGAAGATTAGCAATCATGTGTTTATTTTCTGCTTGAATGCACACCTTCATATCACAGATGAAAAGAAAACTCTCAAACCTTACTTCCAGAAAAGAGAAAAATCTCTTGCACATTAATTTGTATCTGTGTACAGTAAACCATTATAATTAAGTGTGCGATGACGTCTAAAATATCCATTCAGCATAGAGATAGTGATATTGCTAGGATGCCCAAAAAGTGGCAAAAGATGAGAGAACACTTTAAAATTAATAATCCCTTTCATTATCTTCTAAGCAAGCTCAGGTATCTGCTTCTATATCATCAGTGGAAGAGGTGAGAACCAATAGATAAGAAGAATAATATTCAATTTTATGGTACTAAGCTAGTGAGGTTCATTAACACAAAGTCCTTAAAAAAAAAGAAAAATAGTTAACTTCATGATTACAGTATACAGATATTGTCAGATGGAACAAAGTCCATTAATTTTGGAGTCTTTCATGACATGCTAACAGAACAAACTGTTCATAATGAGTTCTATCAAATTTTTAATTTCCTTTCTAAAACCTTGTTTACCCACTTTTTTGTCCAAATTTTATCTAATGCTTTGTCTGGATCCACTTGCATCGAGAGCACCATTCCCAAGAGCAAGGAAATGGATAAGCAGGAAATCAGAATGGACAGTCAGTTCAGCCCAGAGGGACAAAAGAGGCCTAAGAGGCATTAGATATTTGCAATGACAATCTTTGAGAGAGCAAGTTTACTGATAATGGAACTAGACAAAGAAAAGCAAAAGAAGGAGGTAAAAGAAGAGAGACAGTGGTAATTGGTAAGTGGGAGGGAGATGGAAGAGGGATGTAATTGAGGTGGGGTGAAAGGACTAATGGATGGGGGACAAATACAAAAGATAGAGAAAGATGGAAGTAGTGTAATTGAGGAACCTGGAACTAATGAGAAGGTGCAGAGAGATGAAAGAGATGGGATCAGGAGATGAGGAGAGATGGAAGAGACAGAATTTTGATGAAGAAATGGAAGAGACAGAATTTTGAGGGAGAGATGGAATGGACAGAATTTTGAGGAAAATATGTAAGAGACAGAATTTTGAGGGAAAGATGGAACAGATAGACATTCAAAGTAAAGATGAAAGACACAGAATTTTGAGGGAGTGATGGAAGAGACAGAATTTTGAGGAAAAGATGTAAGAGACAGAATTTTGAGGGAAAGATGGAACAGATAGACATTCAAGGTAAAGATGAAAGACACAGAATTTTGAGGGAGATATGGAAGATACAGAATTTAGAGGAAGAAATGGAAGAGACAGAATTTCATGGCAAAGATGGAAGAGACAGAATTTTGAGGGAATGAACGAAAAGACAGAATTTTAGGGGAGAGATGCAAGAGACAAAATTTCGAGGGAAAGATGCAAGTTACAGAATTTCGATGGAGAGATGGAAGAGACAGAATTTCGATGGAGAGATGGAAGATACAGAATTTTGAGTGAGAAATGGAAGAGACAGAATTTTGAGTGAGAAATGGAAGAGACAGAATTTTGAGGAAAGATTGAAGATACAGAATTTTGAGGGAAAGATGGAAAAGGGAGAATTTCAAGGGAAAGATGGAAGACAGAGAATTTTGAGGGAAAGATGCAAGAGACAGAATCTAGAGGAAGAAATGGAAGAGACAGAATTTTGAGGGAGAGATGCAAGAGACAGAATTTCGTGGGAAAGAATGAAGAGACAGAATTTTGAGGGAGAGATGGAAGATATGAATGATACAGAATTTCGAGGGGAAAAATGGAAGAGACAAAATTTCGAGGGAAAGATGGAAGAGACAGAATGTTGAGAAAAGATTGAAGACACAAAATTTTGAGGGAGAGATGGAAAAGACAAAATTTAGAGGGATAGATGTAAGAGACAGAATTTAGAGGGAGAGATGCAAGAGAAAGAATTTCGAGCGAAAGATGGAAGAACCACAATTTCAAGGGAGAGATGGAAGACAGAATTTTGAGGGAGAGATGCAAGAGATTGAATTTTGATGGAATGATGGAAGAGACTGAATTTCGAAGGAGCGATGGAAGAGACAGAATTTTGAGGGAAAAATGGAGCAGGCACAGTTTTGACGGAGTGATGGAAGAGAGAGATTTTTGTTGGAGCGATGTAAGAAAGACAATTTTAAGTTTGAGATGGTAGAGAGAGAATTTTATGGTTGAGATGGAAGAAAATGGAATATACAGAAATTTGAGGGAAAGATGGAAGAGACAGAATTTTGAGGGAGAGATGGAAGAGACTGAATTTTTTGGTGAAAGATGGAAGAGACAAAATTTTGATGGAAAGTTGTTACAGACAGAATTTAGAGGGAAAGATGGAAGATACAGAATTTTGAGGGAGATATGGAAGAGACAGAATTTTGGGGAAAATATGGAAGAGACAGAATTTTGCGGGAAAGATGGATGAGACAAAATTTTGAAGGCAAAAATGGAGCAGGCACAATTTTGAGGGAGCGATGAAACAGAGATTTTTGTTTGAGCGATGGAAGAGACAGAATTTTAAGGTAGAGATGGAACAGACAGAATTTTGAGGGAGTGTTTGAAGGTACAGAATTTTGTGGGAAATATGGAAGACACAAATTTTTGAGGGAGTGATGGAACAGACAGAACTGCTGAGAGAAAGATTGAATAGAGAGATTTTTTAGGGAAAGATTGAAGATACAGAATTTTGAGGTAGACAAGGAAGAGAAAGAATTTTGGAAAAAGGGTGTGATGAGAAATGAAAGAACTGGAAAGGGTGATGGTATTGATAGAACCAGCGGGTGGTGGAGAGAAAAGATGGAATTGAGGGCTGAGTGATGGAAGATGTGGATTGGTGGGTGGGTAGAGATGGAAAAGATGGAACTGGGGTAGGGGATAGAATAGATTGTACCAGAAGAGAGGCTAAAATTGAAAGAGATAGAATTGGAGGTAGAGATGGAATAGAGGGACTAGGGGTCGAGATATGAGGGCATTGACTAGTAAATGGAAGAGATGAAACTAAGGATGGCACAGAGAGGATGGGAACTTTCACTGGAGGGAAATGAAAATGACAAAATCGGGGGGGGTGATGGAAAAGAAGAAAGAAGGACTGATAAAGAAAGAAATTGCAGAGGGATAATGGAATTGGGGGGGGGTGATGGAAAAGAAGAAAGAAGGACTGATAAAGAAAGAAATTGCAGAGGGATAATGGAATTGGGGGGGTGATGGAAAAGAAGAAAGAAGGACTGATAAAGAAAGAAATTGCAGAGGGATAATGGAATTGGGGGGGTGATGGAAAAGAAGAAAGAAGGACTGATAAAGAAAGAAATTGCAGAGGGATAATGGAATTGGGGGGGTGATGGAAAAGAAGAAAGAAGGACTGATAAAGAAAGAAATTGCAGAGGGATAATGGAATTGGGGGGGGTGATGGCCTTTCATCAAAAAGAAGAAAGAAGGACTGATAAAGAAAGAAATTGCAGAGGATAATGGAATTGGGGGGGGGTGATGGAAAAGAAGAAAGAAGGACTGATAAAGAAAGAAATTGCAGAGGGATAATGGAATTGGGGGGGGGGGAGATAAAAGTGACAGAACTGGGAAGTGGGGAGAAATGGACAAGATAAAACAAGGGTGGAGAGAGATGGAAGAAACAGAACCAGATTTTGTTTGGTTTCATTTGGTTTGTTTTATCAACCTCAATGGGTTATTTAAAACTGACAAGACTGCTGGTAATATTTTTCTTTTTCAAAAATGTACTGCTGGTAATAATTTTTCAAAAAAAGTATTGCTGGTATTAAAACTTATTTTTATACTTTCATAGTGTTTTGACCCCTTTTGGGGGTTAACTATTTGCCCAAAGCTGGGACCCTAATAGGTGCTACCACCCAAGGTCAAGGTGATTCTGAGAACACCAGCAATTAAGAGGTGGTTCCATGCTTCTCAAAACCTCCTGATCAAACACTTTGGATGTAGTTTATAGCCTTACCCAGGATACGGATGTAGTTTATCACCTTACCCAGGACACGGATGTAGTTTATCATCATACCCAGGAAGGACAGAACCAGAGTGTGGTGGGGGGATATAGAAATGCAATTGGGAAGTAGAGATAGAAGAGAGAGAACTTGTGAGTGAGGAGAAGTGGAAGAGACAAATTGGGGGGAGGGGGGGGAGAGATAAAAGAGTAGAAACCGAGAAAGAAAGAGAGGAAGTCAAGAAATTCAGTTGACATAGACAAATGTTAAGAGAGTGAGTTGGCTTGAAGGAATCGTAAATGGTATTGATTGCATACAAGAATCTCTAATTCAATTGATGAAGAGGACACGTTTCAGGAGAGAAGCACAGATATAAATAAATTCTTGCTGACAGCTAACAAAGTAGGTTTTATTGATTTAAAGCATGTACCTGCTGAATAGTGATTAAGCTTACTAGTATCTATAAATCATACAATGAATGAGCAGTCTTGTCATTACATCACTAGATAATTTGTTAGGAAGGATTTTCTCTAAATGACCCCCCACACCACCTTTAAGTCACCTATGGTATTTTTATTGCGTTGCTTCTTGTCTAAAAATATTTTCAAACTTGATAAAAATTGTCTTTTTCACTTTTTGATCAATTTTATTGCCAGAAGAGAATGAACAGAAAATTATTCAGACTAGTATCCTCATCTTGTTTGTTATAGTCACAATATTTTGGCTACACTACACTAAATTTTAGATGGTTTAACATTCACAACAGTTTTAGGTAGAACTATCATTATTTTGTCCAATTTTGTGTTTTGTATCAGGTCTGTGCCTTTCTGAAAAATTTGGATGGAAATTTTCACTATTATGCACAACCAAGATGAGGATATTAGTCTGAATAGATCAGAATATTATTTACATTATTTGGACTATTGTCCTCATCTTTGTTGCCGTATTTATTACAATGTTTTGGCCGATGTATGCTCCAACCTTCTTCTTGGAATGTCGAACTGAACCTTTTATTTCGCTCACTGGGTTAGACTGTTCTAGTTCCATGTGCCAATTCAGTTCGACATTCCAACCACCTGAAGAAGGCCAGAGCGTACAACGGCCAAAACATTGTAATAAATATGGCGACAAAGATGAGGACAATAGTCTGAGTAATGTAAATAATGTACATAATACCTCATCTCAGAAATATAGACAGATCAGAATATATTTGATTACAGCTTATCAACTCTTTGCTGGTTATTTAAAGCCAGAAAATATTTTGAGACTGTAAGAATTTTTGGGGAGGGGATAATAATGATTTAGTGATACAAGTCTTACTAATTAATCCATAGCTGGGGGAGAAGAGGTGGATTCATACCTTTTCCAAGAGTATTTGTGTTTATAATGAAGCCAACAGGAATTGGATCTTGGCTCTACAATTAACAATTCCAAGCCATTATCCATTACCTTACTAGAACATTGAAGCTTACACCACGTGATATTCCCAAGTGGTCTCTCATGTAGGTACTGACCAGGCTTGATGTTGCTTAACTTTGGTAATTGTTTAGGGACCAGTGATGCAGCATGATATGGCTATAAGCCCTGTCAGTGTGTAATAATTCTTACTTATCTATGCAGTTCATCTGAGTTACTTAGCTGAAAATGTCTGAAAGGAAAACCAGAAACTGTTAGAATTTTCTATCATCCTGAAGAATTCATAGTGCAGCATAAAGCCATAGTAATCTATAAACCATCAGAATCGAAATGGTTGTGGTTACCTCAAGTATAAACTTTCATTTCCTAATATTTTAAAATATTATGTTCTACAATAATGAGTGAGTATTTTATACATTTCATGATTACTTTCTCTAGATAATGTAGTACCTTCATCTTCCTTAGACTGACCAGACTGGACATTGCTTAACTGGTGATTGTATGGAAACTGGTGTTTCAACATGATGTAGCCATAAGCTATAACATGACTTTAGAAAAATGTTTTTGGAGAAAAGATTTTATACATTTCATGATTATTTTCTTGAGATAATGTAGAATGGTCATCTTCCTTAGACTCACCAGGTTGTATGAGTAGTAACAGTGGTGCTGAAAAGTTTTTGACTGCCCAAAAAGATCATGAATGGGAAATTTACATTTTATTCTATAGATTTATCCCACAGTTAAACACACTTAGCACATCATTTTTCAAGTTTCTTTAATGATTCCCACAAAAATCTCATATTTGGTCATTTAAATACTGCTCTGCTGCTGGTATCACCTCCAAATTATTTAAAAAAATGTTTAAGATGTATTTTAAGGTTTGAAAGCAGAAAATATTCAGTTGGATCAAAATCTGGTGAGTAGGGAACTTCAAATTCTTCAGAATATGCATTGCATTGCCAGTTTTATTATCAGGTGCATTATTTTGCAAAAACAACAAAGAAGGTCATTTTTCAGCAGCTTTAATCAGCACAGCAAGTAAGAGTCATATTCTACATTAATTGTTTTGACCCTTTTGAAGATACTTTCCTTCTTCCAAAAAACAATGACTGTGCTATTGTCTACTGATTTTGTTTTAGCAGACAATAATGGTTATGCTCCCATTCCAGTAAATACAGGAGTGAATACTGTATGTAGGTCTGCAGTTGGAGATTTGTTGTGGAATTCAATTGATTCACTTCTAGCAGTTGACTACTTCTACGTGCTGCTGGTGAATCTTATATGTGTTGTTCTTGACCTAAGTATTATCATTCATTACCAACCTTCATCTGATTATTCTTTTCAGTAACCTTCCCAAGGTTACAACAGATTTTGAGTCTTGAATTTCTTCAGCTATAAAGAACTCAAATTTCCACCACCATGTAGAATGTTGCTTGGTGCCCAGATCAGAGTGGTGTAATCATGTTTTATCAGCAATATGACAAAATTGCTAATAGTTCTGCAAAGTGACTGCGGTAATGTCCACTCAATAGCATTTCGGGTCAGTATTCAGACATTTTAACAAACACTTAGCTGACAGTCTCCGCATACCCAACTGTTCTTGAATTATAAACCCCATCATGTTCCTTAGATAACTCTAGTGTTTCAGCAATATCTTGGACAAGATTCTTTGATGATCCAAAATTAGCTTATTAAAAATTTCAGGAGTTGATAGCATCGAAGACTTTGCAGTCCATGCGGCATCTTGGGTCTCAAAATCTCAACACTGAAAGTTGGCACACCACTTCTTCCGAGTTCAATATAACAGGCACTTGTCACTCAAGTGTCTTTGTGTAATAGACACTCGTGGATTCCCTTTGGAGTTTTCTTCTGCGGAAACAGGAACTTCATGACAGCTCAAAGTTCAATGCTAGAAAATTCCACATTTTCCATTGACAAGTTTCAGTCAATCATCTGAAAAAATTAAAAAAGAAGCACAAAAAAAATTGTCACTTCATAATAAGAAAAAAAGAAAATTCTTTCCACCTACAATGATAAAATGGGTCTGGCCAAGAATTTTTCAGTACCACTTTGAACTAGATTTAACCCTTCCCAATCTAAAGTGTTCAGTTCGAAATTCCAACATATATCACCTGATGAAGGTCTGAGTGTACAATGGCCGAAATGTCATGAATATGGTGATAAAGAGGAGAACAATGTAAATAGTGTAAATAGTTACAATACCTCATCTCAGAAATATAGACAGATAATGAAAATACTATTTATATGTATCTGCATGCAACCTGTAAGTAGGCAACCTGGTACATAATAATCAGTTACTAAATATAGGTACCACTAAAATATATCTGTATATAATCACTAAGTAGCCTAAACAGTACAAAGTAGCCAAAGGCATAAAATTAAGGTAAACTTAAAATAATGGTATATAGTAATCAGTGGTATTTAATGAAAGACTTCTAAAATACAGTACATGGCCAAAAAATGGATGCAACCATAGAATGTCAATTTTTGTATTTTTACCATGACAAGTGAGTAATAGAATTGGTTGAATGCTGTGGTATTGATGCTGGTCCGTCATTCCCTTGATTTTGTACAAATTACCAACTCTGTTGCTGTGAATGCACCTCAAACTTTGTTTTTTTTTATCGTGTTTAACAGTGCCCTTGGTATTCACTCGAGTATTCATTTCACCGGGTGTACACCAAACACATATTCGTCCTTCATATCTAAGAGTAAAGAGGCTATCATCATTCCACATAACATCTTCCCAATGAGATTTAGTCCAGTGTAAATGTGCCTTGCACCAAACCAACCTTGCCCGTTGATTTTTTCCAGATATGAAAGGTTTCTTTTTTATGTATTTTGGAAACAATGCCTTTTGATTTAAGCCTGTGTCTGTTCTTGAAGAAACTGCCAAACTAGAACTTTAGAAACATCTTGTACTGTTGCGAATCAATCATTTTTGCATTGATGAACCAAGTTTCTATCTTCCTTGTCAGTAGTTTTTAGTGGTCAGTCAGATCCGCTATATCTATTATATGTTCCAGTTTGATTTCTCTTTTTGATTAAATTGCAGACACATGACTCACTTTGATTAATCCGATCAGCTATCGATCTATTCGACAGCCCAAGATCATGAAAAGCGGTGATTTGGTCTTTCTCAAAGTCAGAACAATGCTTAGGCATATTAATAAATGTAAATACAAATGGAATAAGCTTTATATTTTGTTCATCATTATTTCTATGGATGGATCCATTTTTTGTCTTGTACTGTATATCTATATACAACTAGCTGAAATGGTACATACTATCAATAGTATTTAAAATTGCAAAAATTCTATTTGATTTACAGTTAAATGTGACATTGTGGGGTCTGCATGAACACTGAACTCGGTGAAAAAAGAAAACAAGAAAAAAGTTATTTTTAAGGGAAATATATATTAAATATGAATTTAGTGTCATAATCCTTATTTATTTGTAAATAGATTAAAAATCTGAGTAAGAAAAAAACAAAAAAGACAAAAAATAAAATTGCTTCATTGTACACATTGTGTCAAGATCATCTGTAATGGAGCCAATGATAATCTTCTGTTCCATCCTAATTTTCTTTCGAAGAGTAATCTTATGGGTCACAGCTTTGTAAGAGTTACTAAGATTCCTGGTTTTTGATTTTGAATAATGTCCAAGTTCTTAAGCCAATCTTGGAGTGGATAAGTAAATTCAAAATATAATCCGGTCAAAGGTAAAACAAAGTTGTAATCTTTCCAAAATAATATTCAAAAATATTCTTCTTCTCCTTCAGCCCAGAACATCATCATCTATTTTAGTCAGTACTTGGGTC